GGCCTTAAACATTTATATATCTATATAATTTATATATTTATATATAAAAAATATATATTACATTTATATATTATATTTTTATATTATTTATATTATATATATATTTATATATACAATTATATCTATAAAATAATACTATATAATATATATTATATCTATATAATTTATATAATTTTTATTTTTATATATATATATAGATAGATATATATATAATTTTAAAAACCACATCTGCATAAAGGACAGCTGTATAAAAGACAGCTGGAACAGTCTTAACACAAATTGGGATCTCTCAGTGACCACCACATCAACATTTGAGACAGCAGGAAGCAGAATGGGGAAGAGATAGCGAGGGCTTGGTGTGGAGGTGGGACAGGCCCAGTTCCTCTGGATAACAATTGCACCACAGAGAGGACAACCTCGAGGGTGTCTCTCCACCACACAGCATCCCTGGCAGAGCCTGCTTTTATTTTTGAAAACCCATTTTCTCACCTAATCCACCCAGATGCTTTTTAGAGTGCCTTGCAGAAGGTAAAACCACTCATTCCTGCCAAAATCAGCCCAGCTGGGAGGACTCCTGGGGTCCAAGTGTCACCTTTGYGACACTTCTCATCTCTCATTCATTTCAGGTGCACCCACACAAGGAACAGAAAAAACAGTTCTTTGCAAAACCTCCTAATTCATGGAAAAATCCAATCCCAGCCGTTTCTGAGCACGTCCTGCCAGTACAGACACAGTCCCTGGGGCTATGAGGCCAAGAGCACAGTGCTTAGGAAGGAGAGCAGGCTGTGAGGAGATTAATTAACACACTGTCAGAACAGCTGCTGGGACCACAGAGGTGGAATGTTGTCCTCCTCGGGCTTGGGCTTCACGTGGGAAGGAGGAATAAAAGCTGAAGCTGGAAAGCAAGCTGAAAACCCACAGTGAAATGAGGATGGTTCACATCGTGTTGAGGAGGTCAGAGATGCCAGGCCAGGCATTCAAACTCTCCTTCATTGGGGTGATGAATAGAAACCCATTGGGGTGAAGAAGAGAAACCCATTGAGGTGAAGAAGAGAAACCCATTGGAGTGAAGAACAGAAACCCATTGGGGTGAAGAATAGAAACCCATTGGGCTGAAGAACAGAAACCCATTGGGGTGAAGAACAGAAACCCATTGGGGTGAAGAAGAGAAACCCATTGGGGTGAAGAAGAGAAACCCATTGGGATGAAGAATAGAAACCCATTGGGGTGAAGAAGAGAAACCCATTGGGGTGAAGAAGAGAAACCCATTGGGATGAAGAATAGAAACCCATTGGGGTGAAGAAGAGAAACCCATTGGGGTGAAGAAKAGAAACCCATTGGGGTGAAGAAGAGAAACCCATTGGGGTGAAGAAKAGAAACCCATTGGGGTGAAGAAGAGAAACCCATTGGGRTGAAGAATAGAAACCCATTGGGGTGAAGAAGAGAAACCCATTGGGGTGAAGAACAGAAACCCATTGGGCTGAAGAACAGAAACCCATTGGGGTGAAGAAGAGAAATCCATTGCTGTGAAGAACAGAAATTCTTCCCACCTCACTTGCCTCCAGACTCAGGATAATTAAATGCCACCTCACCATCACTCACTCACCTGACTGAGACCCCCCAGGTTCACTCCCAGCTCAAGGCACAGAGTTCATGTGCATTTAAAGGGAGCAGAAGGATTGTCGTGGTGCCATGGTTTTTAAAAATCATTGCTATTCCAATGGCAACCATGTGCATGGTTTGGTTTCTGCCTGAAGCTGAAGCCTCTCTGGTTTGGTGCCATATGAGTCAATAATAAAGGGAGGGATATGGGCTCGCCTCCCCTCTCTGAGCTATGGGAATTGCAGACAGAAGAGACACAACCAGGATTTTGAGGAATTAAAGGCAGTATTTTCCTAAGTATTTTCCCTCCCAGCTTAACTTTAACATTTAGGCTTCTCTCTTAATTAGCCCAGTTATGTGRTCGTGTAATTGCTTCCAGGAGCGGCTCCCTCCCCTCCTGCCTGGCCTAAATAGCCCTCCTGGTATGAAGAAAACATTTCTTTCAGGACAAATTATTTTTATTTTGATTATGGTACCGGGTTTCGGGCCTCTAAGCACATGTGGCTACCAGCACAAGTGAAAWATTAACCAATCTGCTGCCAGAGCCAAGGCTGAGCCTGCACCCCAGGCCTGGTGCCCATGGCAGCCAGGCACTCATGGCATGCCCTGTGCCTCAGTTTCCCCATMTGTAAARGGAWTGCTTYGTGRATAACTGGACAGTCCAGTCTGGACACTTTGGGTGTCCTTTTTCCATTGTACAGGAAGTGTTTCTACCCCATTTAAAGCCAGACATGCACAGCCACAAGGACAATTTGCCATTATTTCATCTCTTCCTCTGAAAYCACCCCAATTCTGCAGTCTCCTGGACTGGAAGCATGAAAAGCAGCCTGTGGGGATACCCAAAAGTGCAGGGTTTTCTCGAGCACACTTGTTSCCCACGAGGGATTAGCCGGCTTTCCCGGCATTCCCATCCAGGGAGGGCTCTGGCCGTGCCCCACCAAAGGCAAGAATGCTCCCCTGACTTGCCTCATCCTGCTCCATCCTCRGTGCCAGTCCTCCCACGCTGAGAGCCTCCTGCCAGCCCCGCTTCCCAGAACCCCACAGCTCCCAAACCCCAGTCCTTGCACAGCTCCCAGCTCTGCTTTCTTCCCACTCCGCTCCAGCCGTGCCACCCCACAGCCAGCAGCACATCCCTCCTTGGGGATTCACCCGCTGCTGTGGGCACCCCAGCCCGGCTGGTTTTTCTCCCTGGAAATGGAGACTATCCATGGTGCATGCTTGGATCCCACGGGGAGCTCCTTAGGGATGCTGTTGTGGGTTGTTGGTTGTAACAACCACCGGGTGTTGGGCAGAGGCTCCGGACACCCAGGCTGGACTATCGGGGTGCCCACTGACACTGGGGGAGATGCTGCACCAGAAAACCCCTTCCCCATTCCTACAGAGCTTGTGCCACGCAGTGTGGGGCTGCCAGACCCTTTCCCTGTGGTCTCACTTCTCCCAGAGGATGAACCACCCCAACACCGAGCAATGGAGAGTTCTCAGGCGCCGCTTTCTCACTTTGGAAGATATTCTAATGTGGAGGACAGCAGCCAGAGAAAACACAACTATTCCTCAAGCTGAGGGTTTTCCAGGAACATGGACTGAGCTGTTTTCGGACATCCAAGTGATTAGATTTTTTGTCATCCTTGGACCAGCCACCCGTGTCAAAGCCATGGCCATCCAAATTATAAACATGTGCCTGGGCTCAGCACCCACTGGAGGGAAAGGGAAGCTCCTGCTCACCCCCAGGTCTCCCTGTTCAAGCCCTTGGTCTCCCAGCCAACAAATCTTCCCCCTTGGACTGATGTCATGGAGAAGCTGCCTCACAACATCCTTGGAGGGCAACAAACATCTGTCCAGTCAAAGCCTGGCCACTCTCCTCCTTCCCTGTCCATCACACCAGGGAACCACAGAATGGTCTGGACTGAAAGGATCCTYTAAGTCCATCTCATTCCACTCYSTGCMATRGGCAGGGACACGTTCCAYTRGCTTGGGTTGKTCCAAACYCCATCCAACCTGGCCTTGAACACTTCCAGGGAAGTGAAACAACGTTTGTCTGCTTGCACAGAGAGAATTAGAGGGGGCGTTTGTGCTTTCCCCCTCTGTGGCTAGTAAAATGCAAATGAGCATGGTTTTTACTGTCTATCCAGCTTATTATCTAATAAAACAAGCTTAGCATAATAAATGTTGTGGCTGTGATTTATGAAAARACAAAGAGCAATCCTAATATTTTTCGCCTGATCTCACCCATTTATGTAACTCCTTCACYCTTTTTATCCTCTAAGCTCCTCTGGAGAAGGAAAAGATGATCTCTTCCCGCAACACCACCACGCTCCTTCAAACACCTTCCGCTCTGCCAAGCATGGAACACCATAAAACATCATGTTCTTGTAAGGAGAAAATGCACAGGCAGTGTTGGATCTCACCCACTGGGTGTTTCCCAGCTGTTTCTCCATCCCCACCTGGTGCAYTTCTCCCAGCAGTTTCCCTGCAGACAATAAGGGGATGCTTGCACCCGACAGGTTCTGCTGGCTCCAGCACCACAAAAAACCTTCAAGAGACCACATGGAACTGAAACCACGGGGAAGAAGTTTAAAGGCCAGCAGGAGGTGACAGCCAACCCTGGGAGGTGGCCAGGGTGCCCCTGATCCCCTGGGGGCCTTCACTCCCTCCATTATCTCCATCCCACGCAGAGCTGGTGGTGTCACTGACTTTGTGACTGTAAATTATTGGTATGGGAAATGTTGAATCATAAAAATGCAGAAGAGATATTACAAGTGCAGAATGGAAACGTTGCACGTGCTGTCCCTCAGTGCAGCCTCTCACTTTGYCTCTTGCTAAAGTGCAGCCACTGGGTCCAGCAGAAAGAGGACCCAGGAGCAAAATCCTCCCTGATTCGCTCTTCAGATCTGTTATCAGGCTCTGAACAGCAGATTGAAGAGGGAGGCTGTGCTCTCTGCTTGCAACTTAAAATGAAACGTGATAACATCTCCAGAGTGGAAAATTACAGAGGCTAAGAGCAAGTAAAGCCCGTAGCAGTAAGAATTCGGCACCTGACAGAGCCAGGGCTGGGTGCCTTGGGGTGCTGCCTTCATCTCACCATGGCAGGCCCAGGGTTCCTCTCCCCTAAACTCAAAAATGTGGGGTTTAAAACATTCCTGCTCAAAACTGTGCCAGGAGGAAATGATAACGTGGTGGACTTGGCATGCAAAAACCAGCGTGGAAGAGAAATGAATTTATTTGTTAAAGAAATCCATTTGGGAGGGAAAGGGTGATTCTGCCTGGACAGAAGGATGTGTTTCYCCATGACACCCACAYGACCCTCCRTGCCATAGACCCAYCCTGGARGATGCTGAAGGCTCTGGAGCAGAGCACAGAACCCCTGACCCCCTGAAGGGACAGCCCCGTCCCCTCTTTACCTGGGTCATCTTGGCGAGGTCCAGCGAYGGCCGCTGCTCCTGCAGCTCCTCCGGCCGGCGCCGCTTGACCCCGACCTTTTTGTCGTTGAGGACGCAGGGCTGGGAGCGGCTGCGGGACAGCCCYGGGGCACGGCGRCCCAGCTCGGGYGTGGAGGCRGGGGTGCTGCTGGCCGAGGGCACCSCATCCTCCGARCGCGARAAGCCATCGTGCGAGCAGGACAGTGACCTCTGSATGTCCACCCTGCCCACCCCATGCCCTCCCACGGCCGGTTTGCGGGGCTGACCAGCCAGGGAGGGATGCTCAGCACACAGAGGGTTGGAACGGGCGGGCAGGCTGAAGCTGGAGCTCCTCTGCATGGTGGCCAAACCGTTGGAGTAGCGCTGGACGCTGCCGCCGCTGTAGCAGCGCCGYTTCTCCACCGGCGTCCACACCTTGGAGCCCAGAGGTCTCCAGGAGCTTCCACAAGCTGACATCTCATCTGAGAAGGACAGGGAGCGGCACTGGCGCTTGCTGGGAGGGGCGGAGGGGTTGCTGTGAGGGTCGCTGAGGCTCAGGTCCTTGATSAGGTTGGTGACGGAGCAGGTGCCGGCCGCGTCCCTCGGCCACCGCRAGCCATCCTCGCCCTTGTCCGACAGGCAGTCCCAGATGCTGGCGCCCGGCTGCTCGAGCTGGAGTGGACATTTCCTGCTGAGATCTCTCCATCTGTCATTTTCTGGTTCAGAAAAGAGACCCAAAAAGAAAAAAAAAAGAAAACAAAACAACACACACGCACAGGCATTAGCGTTAATTAATTCCGCGACTCGCTTTCGACGTCCATAAACAAAAAGAGTAGCATATGGGACGTTTTCCAGTACAAATTAATTAACTCTCRGAATATGGTTTCCCAAACTGCCAGCAGAGAGGGTTGTGTGGTGTAGATGGAGAGAGAGACAAAGTGACAGTCCCAGCAGCAGCAAAACTGCTAGAAGAAGATAAAAACACGCCTCTGAATATTCCAGGTTGCACTGGCTGAGGGGGACTCAGCAGTTTGAAATGTTGTGGCTGTTGGTTATCTCTGTGCTAAATCACTTCTCAGATGTGTGCAGCTTGTCCTGGGCTCCACAACTGATAATTGCCTGAATTTACAGCTGAATTTAAAAAAATATGGAATCACTCTTGAGGTTGGAAAAACCCCCCAGGATCATCGAGTGCAGTCATTAACTCAGCACTGCCAAGGCCACCASTGATCCATATCCCCCACTCCACAAGGCTTTTAAATCCCTCCAGGGATGGGGACTCTACCCCTGCCCTGTGCAGCTGTGCCAGGGCTGGACAGCCTTTTCCAAGAAGAATTTTTCCTTAAAATCCAATCTAAACCTCCCTGGGTGCAACTTGAGGCCTTTTTTCCTGC